GAGGTACTGGGTTTGTGCTCTTATTCCAAAATTCCACCTTTCGAGCCCTTCAATTCCGAGAAAAAACCATTGGCGACGCTCCTGGGCCCGTACGACCATGCATTTTTGCAATGTTTCGTTATGCTTAATGTGCGTATGTGTATGTCATTTTTGCAGCCTTTTTGTTTGTTTATCTTGTGATCGGGACAATGGTGCACTATGAAGTGATCGTTGGCATCAGGAAGCAATCGTCGCACTATCTGTTGCCCTTTATCATCGTCTACGCGCCCACCATGGGAACCGAAGCACTCATCATAGTGTATGTCTTTTTTCACAAAACCATTATTTTCATCTCCGGTACCCATCGCCGTGCAGTTATGCCAGTTTGTATGTATGGCCCCAGTCAATCCCTCTACGATTCGTGCATTCGCTTCGATGATAAATTGGTACTATGATTCCCAGAAATATCAGAAATTCGAAAATTCCTTTCAATTTTTAAGCAGATGCCCCCAAAAGACAATTATCTATGGTTTTGTCAGAAATGTTTGTTTGTTGCTGCATCTGCCAAAAGCGTATAACACGAGTCTCTCCAAAGTGCTTTTACAAACCACCGTTATTCACAGGGACTTTACGAAAGGGGTTTGGTGTTGGCTTTGCATCCTAGCTCGTCGTTTTACTCTTTTATCCCATATAAAATAGAAAAGTAGATCATCGTAAAAAGGATTAAAGCGGAAAAAAAAAAAATCGTAAAGGCAGCCGTTGACGAAAAAGGCTTGAACAGCAATAATGGTAATTAATTTAAAGCCGAAAGTTGAAGGAGGAAGGCTGAAAGTGGTAGAGGCAACAGAGGACAGGCCTGGGCTTTTTTTGGTTTTTTTTTTATTATTAAAAAAATAAGAAAAATTTCAGTATTAGTCTTACAGGTTTTACTTCTTTTCTAAGTTTTCCAAGTTTCTTAAAAAAATCCCTGATCGTATGGCTTACGACGTTGGCGGTACTTGTAAGAAATGAAAAGACGGCTTCGGATTTTTTTTTTCAGGATTCACATGTTACATATTCACTCGCCGACCCTCGATTTCGCATACAGGGAAGAGGCAAATGGCCTATACATATTCTTCATTGTTGTCCTGATAATAACGCTGATAATCCAAGGAGCCATGCTGGCCGCGGTGTGCCAGTGTCGATACTATCTCTCATGCAAAGAGATGCATTTAGCTGCCTTGAAAGTAGCCGAAAGCAGCGTATGTTTTCTCCCATTTTTACCGCAAATTGTGAGAATTTGAAATTTCCGGAATCACGTTTTTTGCTTTTTCTGGATAATCTTAATTTTTAAAAAAAAAGAATTTTCCCCCTTACTTTCCGTCTTTCGTCTTTTTTGCAGTTCTTTTTCTTGGTCGAAAACAATTGTTTGTGTTTCCCGTCCGTCTTAGTTTTAATTTTGCTTGTGTGCGCAGAAATGATCGATGCTGCTTTTGCGAATGTCTTGGACTTCCTTCAATCCCTGTCGCTCCCAGGGATTGAAGAAATATGAAGATTTTGAATGCAGCATTGATGCAAACTCATACCTGCGCAGTAGTTCGAACTGATTTTTCACTTGTTTCAGAACTACGTAAAATGAGATTTCCTTAATCCCCTTTCCCCATCTTATTTCGCTTTTTCTTCGTTTTCTTCCCTCCTTCATCTTTACTACTTCGTTATTTTCTCTTTAACCTTAAATTAATAATTAGTTTTCATTTCAGCGTACGAAATATCCGGGAATTCAGGTTGTTTTTGTTTCGCCACCGGTTGGCTCCAATAATCCTCCACTCTCTGCACCCAGTGCTAATGGATTGGCTGCTGGAGATGCTCACTCGGCAACAGGTATCTCAAATGGTAATCCAGCGGTCTGAGTGGTGGTATAGCGTAACGAGAATGAGAAAACCGAGGCAAAAAGCGCCAGTTGGTTCGTGCCAGATGCATCATTTTCGACAGTTTTTTCAGATTTCCTATGTTCGTTTGAATTAATCACCAATTGTGCAATAATCGCGTTGCGATCCATTATGGACGGGTCCAATTTTTCTTTTTTTTTTTGACATTTTATCCTTTCCTTTTTTTTTTCAGCTACAATCAGAAAATGAGATTTTGCTTCCCCTGATCGTTAGATTTTATCTATTTTGTAATAATCCGTATTGGATTTCAAATTTCGTACCAAAAATGCCAAAATTGTTCGGGCAAAGTCGATATTGGGACTCTGTATTAGTGTGATCTCAGTGGGATACTGTCACATGCCAAACATTGTTATTTTTAGTAGAAAAAAAAAACTGTGTATCTTTGGAGAGTCGCAATAAAAATTTCGAATTTTTTTTTCTCTCATTTTGAAAGATAACAGTTTTCATAACTTATATGACCACCATATGTGCAATGCTCGTTATGTTGTAATGTTCAAAAAAATTCTACTTCTTAAATTGTTCTTTCCAAGAAAAAAATATCAGGTTTTTTTTGTCATTTTTTATAGTTTTATTTGGTTCATTGTACGTAAAATTTAGCATGTTTCTATAATCCATAAACACTGTAGTACACATTGTGCCCTGTTTTACACAATATTTTCCTGTCCATTTTATTCATTCCGCTCGCATACAGGTGGTTCTAGTGCCATATGAGGGAAGGGGAGGGGGGAGGGAGAATAGGGGAATCCGTCCACCCTTCGCGTGCGGGCAACTCAGTAATAGAAACGGCAAGACCTCCTCCCTCATTGCTTTATTGGATTAGCAAGGAAACTCAACCAGACTCGGGAATGAGGTGAGTGGTTCGTTCAGCTACGAGCAGTTGGCGAACTGGGACAGTGTGTTGTCGGATCACTGCTGCTGGCTAGAACACATTCCCCGTTCGGTTGTGGGCTATACGCAAAACAGCAACAGTGGCACTTATCACAGTAACGGGCACAATTCACAGCCGGTATCCTGGTACCTAAGATTTGGCACAGTAGCGGTTCCACGTACTGATACGCAGGCCCACGGCTTAAAGATGCAAGTTCGGCAGCCACATAGCCCGACACATTGCAACCATCCAGCGGTGCTACTGCATCCGGATACATCTCCTGCAAACACGCAGAAATTTGTTTGGGGGCCAGAAGTGTATGCCAGAGATGATCTTCCTGGCATATACTTGGGATCCTGCGCAGTTTTTTTGCGTGCCAGCGCCAACTTCGTTGCACTAAATCACCACTAAATACGTCTTCCCCAACATCAGCTGTGTTAGCGCACAAAAAGTCTATTCCATACTACTATCGCGACTCATTTTTAGACTAGCGGTATGTGCGTGCATACGACGTCGCGCCTATATACATATTTACAAAGAATATTAAAAAGATTATACAAAGGTAAATAGTGAGGCTCTGGGGAGCCGAAGCTCCCCAGAATGGGAGCATAAATTAAATAAAAATAGGTCGCAGTGGTGAATGGGTAGTGGCGATCCTGGCAATGGGGAGAAGTGCTTTTATACCCCAGGGACAAAGACTGAATGTTCAATGAGGGTAGGGTGGCCATAGTTTGAACCAGGGACAAAGGTATTGCGTCATAGTAACGTAACTGTTCTTTAACCTACTTTTAACAAAAAAGCATTAATCATAATTTGATCTATTACACGATACCACGACACCACGAACTTTCTTTTACTTCGAGTGATCGTTGTGATAATTTACACTGGATGCTGATCTTTTTGCTTTTTCATCGACAGGGGAAACGAACTGCGTTTGGAGGGAGAAAATGCTACAGCACTGAAACCTAGTTTGGAGCGCCCTAGGCGTGTCGGTGTGATCATGCGTTTTTGCCCTGAACTTGAAGCAGTCGGGTCGTTTAACTATATGAATGGTTGCTGCTTTACACTTATCTTGTGTGTACTCGTTAAAGTAAATCATTGCATATTTTACACAATGAAACCGGAAAAAAAAACACATTCTTTTAGGCACCTGTCGTGAGACCAAAGTATGTGTGTGTGAAAGATAATGTTAAAATCGGGGAGTCGCACTTGGGGTGCGAACATGCTCCCGAAGTTCCGACTTCTTAGCTTTTCTGGTTCTCGACTTAAGAGTTGATGATAAAATATGTGAACACACACAGACCCACCTACAGACTGACAACCTCTTGCCAATATACGATTTTGCATTTGCATAATATGTGAAAATGCATCAAAATTATGAAAAAAAAAAGACTAGGAAATTAGGTAGACGAACATTGAGTTCACGCAGATCGTCGGCTGCAAGTGGATCGAAAATGCAAGCCTGGTCGGATCCGGAACATGCTTCTGATTCATAAGCCTGCGCCAGGAACGATTTGGAGCGCCTGCAGAAATAATAATAGTAATTGCTGGGGAGGATTTACATGTACCATAAAATATTTCAGTGCTGAAGTCTCGGCCGCCCCTTCTCCCTCTGTCTCTTCCCGAACTCCCCTTCTACCTGGAACGGCTATCTTGGTGGGTTTTTCGACATAAGATAAAACCAAACTTGCAGCATCGGATTCGTCGTCCACATTTGCCGCAGTTTTGTGTTGTTACACGC